GTAATGCCAGGAGCCCCTAGTAGCGTCCTTGCTCCTAGTAGCGATGCGTATACAATTGTTGTTACAGTCTGAAGGAAGACATTCTAATCATATGTTACGTGTTTTTTTACATTTATACTTCACGTTTATTCTAGAGATGAGGATCCTAAGTATAGTTGAATTACACTTAAATGTTTCCCGCACGTGGCCGCAAACGGGCATCAACGGGATGGGAGTGACTTAGCCGTTTGTTCCAGCCCTGTTTGTTTGCTTTCTGCAAAAAGAAGGCAGATGTTTGGTCTTCGAATGTCTCTGAAGAAGTGGCGTTTGTTTGAGGCCATCAATTTGTCCAATGTCCAAGGGAACAGCCTGAATGACTCGAGCGAGGAGATCACTTAGATGATTGGTTGAGACTTCCAACATCAAGGCATCAAGATGCACCATATGTTTTGTTGGTGTCTTTGTTGGCGTCTTGCTACCACGGCTAGCAGGAATTGAAAAAGATTGCGAGGCTCTTCAATGTGCGCTCTGTGTTGTTCTTCAATCCCACTGACGTTCGGCATGTCCTTCATTGGCAGAGTTATCAAGGTCGATCTCCGTTCTTGTCGGCTTGAGTCGTGATGACGTAGCTTACTGACAAGGCTTACAAAAAAAAAACATGAAGTTCGAAGCTCTTGTAACCTCCAATGGTTTAGAGACATATCAAATTGAGACTATGATTCTTGTTTGGTGTCTTCCAAAGGTGTTGAACTGTTTAGCTGTAAAGGGTTAGAGAGAGAGAGAGAGAGCAATATGTTTGAACACTTCAAAGCTCGTGTGGCTGCTCCAAATTGCCATGGCACTTCATGGATGAGGAGGAGTGGAGCTCGCTCGATTCGCTCGATGCCACCTTTTGCTTGATTCGTTTGGCCCAGGTTGTTTTCAGTGTTTGCGTTTGTTTGCGGACACACTCCACTTACAGCAGTCGCTTCCCTTACTGCGTGTCGTTGAAACATGTTCCAAGCATGCTCCGTCGGCCGTGCGATCGCGGAAGGCCAAGGCCTCGCGGCGGGGCTGTTGCAGCAAAGGCCCAAGAGGCGCCGAGGGACCGTCGAGCCGCGAGTCTTCGTGGGAGGTCGTTTTAGGTCATTGTCCGGTGAGGTGTGATGAGGTGTGTGTGTTCCTTTTTCTAAAGGAATTTCTCAGACATTCGGAACTGTTTTTGTTGAGGAACCACAGCTCAGCTCAGATAAATCATTCGATACGGAAGTTGACAGAAGATGAACAGGTCTTATCAAGTGTTGGTGGCCATTTTGACCATTTTGACCCAACCCCAGCTCATTTTTGCTTGTGCAAGGGGCCGTGGCGGATTCGGATGAACTCTTCCAGCTCATCAAAGATATTGACTGGTCGCAGAAGAAGCCCGTGCTCACACGGGAGGCGCGCTGCGCGACAAATCTGGCACTTGCCCTCACACGACTTCAGTATCTTCTTAATTATACATGCATGCAATAATTAGATAAATTAGGGATTCAACATGCTTGCATACATGCTTCCACTACCTCCAGTATGGCTTCATTTTTTCGCTCCTGGCTGGTGTGGTGTGACCGACCCCCCCTGCTACACGACGGTCAGTCCCAGACCTGAGACCTTCCAGCTCAGGTGACCATTGGGCAAGATCGATGGGAGCGCGGCAGCATCTTGATGAGCGTGGGCGACCCGGGTGGACCGCAGGAGATTCGCCTGCGAGGAGGACGGAACCGAGAGATCATGAAGAAGGCCCTTCAGGAGCCGGACGAGACGACGGGTTGGAGTGGTATGTTTCGTCCATGGGGTTTGATCTCCGGGGCATACTGTATCCATTTGTATCCTGTTATATACTGTATCCTGTTGAGCAGGCAATTGAGATGTTTGTAGTGCCACTAAAAATCAGAGTCAACGTTTTTTGATGTTTTTTTGTGTTTGCCTTTGGAAGCAGGAATGCCTCGATGCAGACCGTATCTTGGCGCAGTGAGAATTGATTTCTTCCAGAGAATGTCAATGCCTAAACAAATAACAATTTAATTAGTTGATGAAACAGTGAAGCACCGCAACCCATGGAACCTTTCAAACGTGAATTATGTAAGTCCTTTATTTCCACCTGCAAGCCTATGTCTAGCTGATTTTTCACTTTCCTCCACGTAATATGTGGTTTTTGTTGCTCGCTCTCCAAATAAGAAGCCATCTCTGAGGACCGGTGTGGGTCGGTTTGAAGCGCTTCCGCGTGGGCATGCCCTGGTGTGTGGTGCTCCGCTGTCCCTGCCTGGTCATCTCCGTGACCTTGGTGGGCGTCCTGAGCCTCATCGGGATCAGTGTGACATCGGCATCCATCTTCCTCAACACGAACTTCGAGCCTCGGCATGACCCCCACGACCCCGGACAGCGGGACGGTGGGACTCGACACGACCCCCACGAAAAATTAGTGCTCCCATGCTGGCCCATACATATGGTACATATATATATATGTTCTCCAAATTGTTCTCCAACCAATAGCGAATAGTAGAAAAAGATTTGAAGAAGGCTTTAAATGCTTCCAGGCGTGCGATGTGTCTGTGTCTGTTTTTCAAAAGCGTGCATTGTAAGAGATAGATTTCGCATGTAGCTTTATCAACATGCTGGCAAATCTGGAACATGTCATTGAGAGTTTCTTCTTGAACCAAGAAGAAGAACGGTGAAAGAACAGCGTCTAGGACTCCTTCATGGACTCGGACAGTGCCGCGTCCCTGAACTTTAAGTCCATCCTACAGGCGCGAAGAAGAGAATGACATGCAGACCAGGGCCTCAAACAACAGGACCTTTGACCTTGGTGCCCGAACTTGCGTGTTCATGTTGACTTGAAGGAGGCGCTCAGGCGCATCAGTGATCAAGTGGTATTGTGAGTAGCGTTGTGAGTGGAATACTATAGGCCCCAAGTCTGGTGGGTTCAGCATGACACAAACCTGCAGCATGTGATGCAGCTGGGTCCTTGGTAGGGTCCGGCTCACTCTGATGTCCGCCGCCGCGGATTTTCCGCGTAGGCCATCCTGGATGCCCGTGAAGAGCGCGCCGGTCGGCGGCTCTCCAGTGGAGGCTCTGCTTGTTGTGCTGCTCGGTGTTGTGGAATTGATCCCTTTTGGCCGCTCAGGACCTACAGTGATGGCTTCAGGGCTGGTCTTAGAGGCACAGTTGAAACGAACAACTCATGACTCATCCCGAGTCGTTTGGATCAGATAGACAGTAAGAAAACGCAGAGCCGCTTGTGCTCCTTTTCTACCGGGTGCTGGATGACACTGCGCATCTTCTCTCTTTCTTTCTGCTTGATTCGATGCTATGTGCACACACGCTTTCTCCCACTCAATGTGACGTAGTTTTCTCAAGGTTTTGTTGGGGGTTCCAGTTGGGTTGTAGCAATTTCAGCATCACAAGAGCTACCACAGGCCCCTTCCCCTTCTTCCCATTCCCTTCATCCAATGTCAGACACGACGCTGCGCAGTCCGGGCAACACGTCTCCGGAGACGCACTCCGGTCAGTCGTCGGATGTCGTCGGGTCAGGATGGCACTCCTGCGGTTCGAAGACTCCAGTCCGGCTTGAGATTGTGGCTGGGTTTTGCCTTCAACAGCCGTTTTACGGCGATGGGTGGAAGTGAAACAAGAAGCAAGTCTTCAAGTTCCAAGAGAAGAGAGACAAGATCCATGAGTTCTGTTTGGTGTTTTGTATGTGCTTTGTTTTGTGTTTTAGACTTTAGATGTCTAGATAGTGCACAGATTGGTGACTGACTGTCGCAGAACTGGATGTCTAATGAGTCTAATGGGAGGCAATAGTGCGGATGTTGATGGATGATGGCCGAGCGGCTGGAAGCTGATTTGAACTCTGTTCATGGGGCCATGTATAAGAACGTGTGAGGTACAAAACCTATACCTTTCAGCTCACCTATGCTCGCAGAAACGGTGGCCACTCGGAATGCAAAGCTGCAAGTTGTAGTCAAACCATTCTTTGCAACAACAATGGAGGACTCCAACTTGCTGTGGGACATGGCATCCGGATCCCAAACCAGGTTTGAGTAGGGCACGCCAGCCATAGATACAAGGAGCCAAAATCATTGTTTAAAGCAAAAAAAATGCAAAAAAAGATGGAGCCCACGCACCCAAATGCAGACACGTTCAAAAAGCTACAAATGACACTCTTGTAGGACACTCTTGTGGGACACTCTTGTGGGTCACTCTTGTAGGAAACTCTTGCGGGACACTCTTACGGGACACTCTTGTGGGACACTCTTAAGGGACACTCTTGTGGGACACTGTTGTGGGACACTCTTGTGGGACACTCTTAAGGGACACTCTTGTGAGACACTCTTGTGGGACACTGTTGCGGGACACTCTTGTGGGACACTCTTGTGGGACACTC